TCAAAGAGAGGACTCTGCTTCAAAGTCTCTCAAAGAGAGGACTCTGCTTCAAAGTCTCTCAAAGAGAGGACTCTGCTTCAAAGTCTCTCAAAGAGGAAGATATGATTTCAAGTGTCTCTCTCTTTCTGACTCTGAACCGCTAACAGTGTGGATATCGGGAAACGGACAAAAGAGTACGACAATCTGGACTCGACGTTGCGAGCGAGGATGAGTGGTACTACTTCTCTACGGATGACAAATTAACTTCTACTACTGTTTTCAACATGACTGACAGATCAATATACTAAGTGGAGTCATTGGTTATTAGTTATAGACACTGACGCTCTTTTTCTTAAGAATGTAGATGTATCGATTGTGAGTGTAACATTGTATATCGATTGTGAGTACTATCTAATATTAGGCATATCGATTATTTAATAACCTCCACTTAATAGTGGCTAGTTGTTAGTCGCTTGCTTTCTCGTCCTCAAGATTGATCATGCTTCAATTCGTCTTTTCTACTACTTGTCCTATCTTACCATGACGGCACCGGCTCACGCACCCGGACCGCGGCGCCTCTTGTTAGGACTCTCCTGCATTTGCCTAACGCGTCGCTGTGCTTCAGATTCCGCCCCCTGGCCGTCTGTAGGTCTGTGGGTAACCGTCTATCCTTCTCCTTATAATAATAATACTACTTGTCCTATTAGTAATCAATGTCGTGGTTTATTAGTTATAGACATATTTATAGATTATAGATCATGTAGAAGGCTTTTCTCGAGCATGTAACTCACTGCCAGATGTGCGACCAGCGGGATTGGCGTCGATAAATCCAACGTTGGGCACGGTGGGCGTGACCGCGAATTTAGTCGGGAATGTTAAGGCTTCTCTTATATGTAAATGATATTTACCCAGTCACACACACTTTCAAATGATCTGGTGGGTTGAACCGCTTGCTACTTCTGTTGATACTTACACTTTCAAATCATCTCTCTGGTGGACGTGGAGGTGGACATGGATTGCACATAGATAAAATAAACGGAAGATTGCATTGCCCGACAGCATGAGAATGTCAATCGATCTGCTTCTCCTAATGATTCAACATTTGAGATGAAGTCATCCTAGGAGAGAGGCGTCCAAGGGGTCCTCAAGAAGTATGAATTAAAACTAAATCTCGAGGATAGGATGGAAGTATATTTCTCTACTGTCTGAAGTAGATGGGTGATAAGAGCGACCTCTAACACTACAGGTCCCGAGGCCTTTGACAAGTGGAGAAAAACGACTCCTTGGGCGTCCAATCCGAACCGCAATCGGGCCTTTGACTGGGCCAACGATCCCTACAGCTTCTAAGTTACGACTAGTAAGTGTGTAGTAGTTAGCACCTTATATAACCTTCTAGGAGTAGTAGCTCAAACTACAGCGTCTCAAACCTACTTCTATTTGGACCATCCGGCAACGATCCTGTTTTCAAAGCTACTGCTTCTAAGACATCTGGAGTAAGTTTTGTAGTAGTAAACTATGACTAGAATTTTGAGTAAAGAGGTGTGTAGTTAGAAGCCTAAGAATATTAAAACAGTACTAAGACTTGTTGTTTTTTTGTTGGACTGAAAATGAAATTAAACGCCTGCAACATAATTATGTACAAGTAACTAAACATCCAACATCCATGGACTAAAAATGAAATTAAACGACTGCAACATTATGTACAAGTAACTAAACATCCAACATCCATCCATCTATCTTAGCAAAAAATGACTTCGTCTTCTTCTTTCTAGAATGTGATTTGAGTGTATGATTAAGCAACTGTGATACATATTCTTGGCCATGGACTTCTCCAAACCGCGGAGCAACGTGCTGTATTGATATTTGTGTACCATGCGTGCCTGTGCCTACAGCGGCTAGTTAGTTAGTTAGTTACTAGAGAGCAAGGAACAAATGTACGCAAGAAACTATTGCTGCTAGTTGTGACAGCTCGCCTTTTGAAACAAATGTATCTGAAATGTATTTTTTCTTTGCTATCTGGGCACGCTCATGATCATCGACCTCCATGGTATCAATTGTAGCTGAGGCGAGCTGCTATTTGCTCCCCCATAAAATTGATAGACACAGCGGGGTCTGTTCATCAATAACAAGATGAAGCGAAGGCTTCGCAGGCTTATGCCGAAAGATAAACAGAGAAAGGAAGCCGCGCCTTACTTTTCTGTTCAAACAAATGGAACAAAGACCGAGGAGTATCTTCCGACTCATGTGGTTACATTGCGTGCGTTCTGGTTTTCGGAAGGTTCTCACAGCGTCACTCAGTGCATCGGTGCTTCGTACTCGTGCAAAAGCAAATAGAGGTCAGAAAAACTCTGCATCGGTTCTCCGTGCTTATGCAAATAGAGGTCAGAAAAACTCAAAGTGTTTGTCTCTTGAGTGTCATATCGGTCCACCCTTTCCCTTCATCCTTCTGCCCCATATCTTCCCTTTGCTCTCAATGCTATCCTATTCTATTCTCCGCGGAGGGCCACAAAAGCTAGTATTTGTTCTTTAGCGTGCAGCACTTCTGTGCATGTCATCGTATTAATTATGTTTTTTGAATGAAAGTAGTAGTAGCAGACAATACATAGCTTACTTTTGTCAAATAGCCTTAGTTGTTGAGCGTAACCCACCTCTTGATCTTCTTGTTGAAAATTTTGATCTTCTTGTTATGCGTAGCTGTGAATGCAAGCTGTGTAGGTGTGAGGTGTGTGTGTATGGAGATGCAACTTCTAATTAAAGATCTTATACCCCGTGAGTGGGTACATCTATCTATCTAAACAGGTGCCTCGCTGAGATTCTAGTTAGTAGTCGTTCTAGTTGTAGTAGTCATCTAGCTATGTTGATGTACTACGGAAAAATGGTCCACGCTGATCGTCCATGCGTTTTTGAATACGACAAGCCCACTGGTGTACGACTGTCCTCGTGAAGGCTGCCCTCGTGAAGGCGCTCAGGAACATGCCTACTCTTGTATAACTGTGCTTGTGAAGGCGCTTACTACTCCTAGCACCCCAGATCCAGACTGGTGACGGACCTCAAATAGTGAGAAGATGATGCACGAAGGTACAGCTGCAACTGTGGTCGAAGAAGAAGATGACGATCATGCTGGCGATGTTTGCCTTGCCAGCGATGGCACAAGCTTCGCTGTTGGAGGGCGTGAGGAAGATAGTAAGGAGGAAGGAGGGACCGAGGATAAGTTAAGAAAGGGCTACAGGATGAGCCAAGGGTACTTAAGCAGGTACATCGTCCTTCTTTTCTTTTGAAAAGACCAACAGAATCAGTATCTACCCTCTAGCCTTCATCTCCATAGCAACGTTGAGACTTTCTGTCATCTTCTAAGAAACAGCCCACATCGGCGTCGCGGTCTGTGTACGGGTGGGGGCGGGAGGAAACGCATGACCCTGTTTGGCTCTGCTGCGAGGCGAAATGCATCGAGTACGCTGTTCGCCGACACTCGAGGACATCAGACGATCAGCTTAGCCAGCAACTCCACAGTGTATAAGTTAGGAAGCACCCATCTTCATCTCGAACATCATGACTTAGAATTCCATTTTGAATCAAGGTAGCGGCTAGCTGACGCCATCTTCTTTCTAGTTTTGTCTGCGATGCGGTGATTATATTCTCAGAGAGTTATGTCTTCTAAAAGTCGAAAGGACGTCTTTGAACTTATAAGTAGCTCCTAGTAAATAGGGATCAAAATTTCTAATGTGAAACCTACAAAGCGGCTCGGCGAAAGGCACAAAGAGCGTTCATTTTCAAACGTCGGGGTCAGTCTTCGATAAGCAAGTTCCGACGTTTCTCTTCGCGCGTGCTTACGACCACGTCGAGGAAAATTCGTACGATGTTTCGCAGGTTAGGAGTCATAATCTAAAGACGCGCCTTCGGAACGTCTTCGCGTCACGGAAAAATGCGACAACCCCTGTAGTTGTGGCGGGAAGTAAGACAGATAGCAAGGACACTGCTGCTG